CACTAAAGGATGCAAAATCTCTGGCTATAATATATATAATTTAGTTATAAAGGCAGTAGTCTGTTTCAACACTGATGACAGTTTTCAAATTTCTGTTATAAAAACTCTTTAATATAATGATATAACAAATAATGATATTTTTGTATAATACTTACCTTAGATAAAAATAAAAGAGGAATAATACACTTTCTATAGATTTAATTCATTCCTAAGAAGTTATAATGTAGTGGACATCACAATATTAGGTACCCACATTTCTAGGAAAAGGATTAATAGTAAATAAAAAAGAAATTTCATATCAGGTGAAAACCAAGGGATTTGGTCAAGGACTGAAACAAGGAAAATATCATTATAAATCATTTCAATTTTGTGCTGTGAACTGTGAGCAGTGTGGAAAGTGAAATCAGTACGAATTTATCTGAAGGAGAAAAAACTTTTATATACTATGTGTATTGTGGGCTCCGTGAATGGAATGAAAATATGTTGCATACCGACATAGTTGATCTGTGTAGTGATTCAACTAAAATGTTGATGAGAAGTGTTCACAGAATTCTCAAAACCTTTAAAGAAAACGAAGGTAGATGTGAAAATGTATCTAAAGACATTGAAACTAGGGGAAGAAAACAAACTCAGCTTGATGAATGCACCAAATATGCTATTCGAATGAAATCTCATTTTTTTTCCTAAATGAAAAAGTCGTAGACGAAAAAAGTTCCGATCAATCGATGGCCAAAATCACGACGTGTTTTATTGCGCGAAAAAACATTAAATTTATGAAAAGAGGTAGGAAAAGTGCTGTTATAGAAAGAGAAGTAATTAATTGGTTTGTGACGGAGAAATTACTTGAAAAATTCCGAAAGTATCGTCTTGAAGGTAGAAAGATTTATTTTTTAGATGAAATCTAAATTATTATTGAATCAGGACCATACTGTCTCAAAGGTATGGCAAGATTCAGAAATAAGAAAATGTCGGCAATATTTCATTGAAGGCCTTTCAACAGGATTAAAAGCGCCGGTTAGCAAAGGACGTAGGCTCATATAGGTAGCGATTCTGGTTTTTTGGAAAACGACTCTTCGAGTCGAAGAAAACTAGCGACAACCACGAGGAAATGGACGCGCAAAAATTCGAAAGTTGGTTTTCAACCTTGAACAAAACTCTGTTGTCGTCATAGACAATGCCTCCTACTAGAGCAGTTACCAATAACTGCCTGGCGAAAAGCTGATATCATTAACTGGCTGTCCCAAAAAAAATTGCCATTCGACGATAATATGTTAAAAGTCCAATTACTCAATATTGCAAGGAAACATATACCTCAGTTGAAGAAATAGGTTGTCGACGAAATGGCTCATGAGAGGAACATAATTGTTCACCACCTCCCTCCCAAACCCAACAGAGCTAATATGGGCTCAAATGAAAAACCAAGAGGCGAGGGAAAATTGACTTTTAAAATAGATAAGGTCACACCAGAATCATAGAAAAAATACTTTAGACATATGATAAAAGAAGAAGACAAAATGTGGGATCTCGACACTAGAATGGACATTGCAATTGAACCATTGATTATTACCTTGAATTATAGCTATAGCGATAGTTGCTCATCATTCGACGAGTTTTCTTCAGATGATAATGAATGTATGGCATGTCGTTCTGGGGTTTTTGCTGTTATCAGCTAATGAGCTCAGTATTTGTCTTACAAAAAAGAGCTCTCAGATATTTATCAAAAGCTAAGTCCAGGGATCACTGTAAACCACTTTTTATAAAACATGGAATTCTGACCCTATACAGTATTTTTATCCTTGAGACAGTGTGCTTGATGCATAAGGAAAAATCCAACTAGTTTGATAAAAC